ATTAGATTCATATAATTTTGGGGAAGATACATTCAAATATATAAAATATCTCTTCTATTGCTGAGCAGGCCAATAGGCGATGAAATGGAGATTGCATTTTTGAATCTGTTCTTTTAAATGTAAAGAAATATCCGATTTAGGTTATGACACCCCAGCCTACTCCTTCTGCGTTTTCTATTATAACCCAAATTCGATATCATTACTTGTATGCTAATTTGATACCTGTGACCGATTCTCGTCACTGGGACAGACAAAAAAGTAAAAGTACACCTTGCAGGTTATACATTATTAGTAGCAATAGGATTTTTAACTGTGGGTTTGCGAATAGATATAAAATCGAAATCCGACTCAGAATCGTATTGTTCATCTAGCTTTTCTATATAAGCTTTGAAACCCTTTCCAATCTCCTGTATTAAGAGTTTATTGATAGCTTGATCTGGCTTAATGTTGCAGTCTGCCTCCTCAATCTTTTGCGTTATAATTTTATCAATAGTTTGAGTTAGCATGCTCTTGTGATCTTGCATTGTTGTCATTTTATATACCGCATAGAATATGTAATGAAAAAAATAATCACGCAAAACCTATATCCGTCATGCTATATACATGTTATCGGGTCGTGTTATTACGAGTTTGACGATCCAATTGTAATTTGTGCGTCAGCCAGAGTATATACACGGTATTGGGAAATGATATAGGTTATGCTATCGATTAATGCTACCAAATATGTATGCTAAGTATATTGCGTAAATGCTATCGATAATGCTATCAGGCTATGTTATCAAAAAATGTTATCGAGTACGTTATATTAAAGTATACCGATTTTGATTGCATAATTTTTGATACCAGAAATATGTCCTGAGAACATACGTAGTAAAAAAGTGGGGTTAACTATATAGGAAGGCAGGTATATAACTCCCATAATTATTATATAATATTACCGAAGTTATACACCCCGGAAATATATTACCCAGAAACATATTGTCAAATGGGTAGGCTTCTTCATTTTTTCTAATATAATATTACCGAAGTTACCTACCCCAACATATATCCGAAAACATATCGTCATATGGGTATATAACTTCATTTTTTCTTATATAATATTACTGAACTTATATACCCCGATCACATACCCGAAAACATATCATTGAAAGGGTATTCTTCTGCCATTTTTCTTATAATATATTACCGCACTTGAATACCCTTGATAACATACCCGA